CTGGTAATGTTCTTAGTGAAATCAAACTTGTTCAAATTCCCAACATTCAGTGTTCTTGTTTTTAATGACTATGGGATGAAATAGTGTATACATATTTGTAAGGGCTTTTTATAATAAACAGTGTATAAAACATATTTTGTGGTTGTTAAGAATGCATCTTAAGAGTTGGCTTTAATCTTTGAACAAAAATATTTCAAAATCACTTTTTTTTAAACAAATGGAATGCATTTTCATTTTGAATTATATTTCTCCAAGTTTGGAGATTTTTATGAAGAAATAACCATTCCCTCACTTCACTACTACCAGGGACACTGAGTTGACTTGCCCTATAAATTCAAGGGTTGTTTAAGGGAAAACAGGCAAGGTGTTCAATCCTAAATTCCTACGTGATTCAGAGAAGCAGAAAGGATGGTGACTACATTCAAGCCACAGTAAAATGTTAACATTCACATTCATGGGAGTAAAAAGATCTGGAGAATTACATTTGTAGATTTTTTTTTCCTTCTGCTTTCATTAAGATATAATTGACATACAGGCATACCTCGGAGATACTGTGGGTTTGACTCTAGACCACTGCACTAAAATAGGCATTGCAATAAAGCAAATCATATGGTTTGGTTTCCCAGTTTTATGTTTAATCTATTAAGCGTGCAAAAGCATTATGTCTAAAAAACAACATACACACCTTAATGAAAAATAATTTGCTGCTAAAACTGCTAATTATTATCTGAGCCTTCAGTGAGTCTAGGCAGTGACATGAAAGATAACTGAACACAGATCACTGTAGCAAACAGAATAATAATAAAAATCTGAAATACTGCAAGAATGACCAAAATGTGACACAGAGACACAGAAGGAGGAAATATTTTTGGAAAGATGGCACCAATAAACTTGCTGATGCAAGACTGCCACGAGCCTATAATTTGTAAAAAATGTAGTATCTGCAAAGCACATCAAAGTTAATGACAACAAAACGAGATATGCCTGGATAACACTGTGTAAGATCAAAGTGTCCAGCATGAGTTGGTAATGTATATATTGTGAAATGATTACCACACTAAATTTCTTAACATCTATCACCTCACAGAGTTACCCCCCAAATTTATTTTCTTCTTTGTGATCAGAACTTTTAAGACCTACTTTCTTAACAACTTGCCAATGCAGTTATTCCCTGACATCTGAGAGGGGATTGGTTCCAGATCCCTACCCACTTCCCCTACAAATAAAAATCTAAATGCTCAAGTCCCTTGTATAAGGCATAGTACAAGCAGCCCTCCTTATCCAGGGATGAAGAACTGTCGGGTACAGAGTGTCAGAGGTATACAATACAGCATTCTAATTACAGTCACCACCTGTGCATTATATCTTAGTACTTGTTTACCTGATAACTGGAAATTTGTACTTTTTGAACCTCTTTACCCAATTCCTCCACCCTCTAAGACCCTTTACCTTTGGCAACCAGAAATCTGATTTCTTTTTCTATGAGCATGGACTTTTGGATTCCACATATAAGTGAGACTATGCAGTATATGTCTCTTTGTGTATGATTCATTCACTTAGCGTAATGTCATGAAGGTATGTAAGTGTTGTCACAAATGGAAGGATTTCCTTCTTTTTCATGGCCAAATAGCATTCCACCCTATGTATGTATGCATATGTGTATGTGTATATGTGTGTGTATGTGTGCTTTTATATATATATATATATTGCATATATATATATATATATACACCTATATATATATCTCACATTTTCTTTATCCATTCATTTATCGATAGAGGTAATCTCGGTTATTGTAAATATTGCTGCCATACACAGGGAGGTGCAGTTATCTCTTCCATGTGGAAGATTTTGTTTCCTTCTGACATACCTATACTGAAATTGCTGGATCATATGGTGATTCCATTTTTTAAGTTTTGAGGAATCTACATACTGTTTTCCATAGTTGTATAAATTTACTGTAGATCTTAATATATTAACTGACTCAAAAGATAAATTGATGTTCAGGTTTGTAGAAAACAATTAGTGCTTCCGTACTGATGGGCTGGTTGGCCTTTTCTGGTGAGCAGTGGGTCTAGCAGTAACTTCTCTTTTCCTGTAAGACAAGACAAAACAAAAAAGATAGCATCAGAGGTAAACAGAAGCACAGAAATTAAATTCCAGAAGCTTACTTAGAAAATGGACAATTAAAACTGTATTTATAGTAGTAAGAGTCACATCACTAGAAAAGAAATGATTCTTTTCAAGTAATTTCAAATGTTCAACGAGTCTCACTCCAGAAACCCTTTTTCTATCCCTGTATTATATTTTTGATGTCCCCCAAAATGAAAAAGAGAGCAGTCACACATACTTAGTAAATATTCTGTTATTTTAGTTTGGGGTCAGTGGGAAAGATTAAAGAGAAACATGCATTTTCCCTAATAATGGAGTTTTAAATCTGGCTCTGAGATAAAACCTTTAAATAGACAATAATTCCAGGAGTGTTCAAGTTTAATAATGCCTTATTTACCCCTCACTGTCAAGGAAATGATATGTTGTGGTAACAGAGACTCCTAAATAAGTAAAATCCACATCACACTTTTGTTGTAGCAGCAGACATCTTTCTTATACCTATTATTCAAGTCAATGTTATTCAAAGAAATATAGTATGTCACATAGGTAATTTTGAATTTTCTAGAAACCACATTAAAAGAAGGAAAAGAAGCAGGATTAGTTTTAATATATTTCACTTATTGCAGTGCACTAAGTCTTTGAATCTGGTGTGTACTTTGCTCATCTTACATAGGATAAGCCACATTTGACGTCACAGCAGCCACTCAGGGCTACAGAGTCTGGAGCTGGAAAACGCAGTCCCAGTCCCTCCTCAGGAAACATGGTAGACAGACCACAACCAAATGTGGACCAGTCAGTTACTCAGAGTGTGCCCACCCCAGCAAACACTTCGAGATACCAACCCCACATAACAGCTAACTGTGTTAATTTTGGAGATTCTACTATTTCTCCTGGTGGGCAAGGCATCACTGAACCACCGCTGTCACAGCACCGTACTTGTAATAGAGCCATTTCCTAAGGACTACGGTGGTGGGCGACTCCTCCTTCATCCTCCAAAACCACTATATTCTTCTGTTTTTTGAAGTCAATGCATTTTTTCTTCTGTTGCAGTAAAATCCTTTTTTTTAGGTAGAATTTTAAATTGAAATCCAGTATTTGACAAAGATAAATAAGCATTAC